TAGTATGAAAATATTAAGTTTCGGAAGAGGGTTCAACGAGATCCTCAAACGGCGAAAAACACACCACTCGGCTATTAGTCGATGCCTCGCCCATCATCAGAGCGGATTCTCGGCAAAACGAAAGCAAAGAATCGACGTACGAACAAGTGGAGCAATACGAACCTGGTGTTTACATCACTTTCAGCGTCTTGCCTTGCGGTCAGAAAACGCTGAAACGAGTGCGTTTCAGGTAAAAAGCGCTACGTTTCGTGCGTTTGGGTACGTTGATTTTCAATCATTACTTTCGAATTATGCATCATGCTGAAGTGATTTTTTTTTTATCATTTTTTTTTTGTTTGAAGTCGAAAGAGGTTCACAGAGAAGGAAGCTCAAAGATGGTGGGAGGAGAAGCAGGTCTTGGTTTATGACAAATACGGCGTTGAAGGATAACACACTAACTCTTGACCAAAGTTTGACCATTTTGTTTTATTGTGTTTTATAATTCTTGGGAAGTATTTAAATAAATATTTTTGTAATATTTGGGATTGTGTAATTAAGTGAATTCATGATTTACTTGCAGGGAAAATATAATTTATAATATGTTTTGGGTTCTGTCTTAATCTTATTTAGCTTAACCATAATTTGTGTCTCAGTTGTGTAAATTAGAAAAAAGAAAACCAAACAAGAAAAAAAGAACGACGAAACCAAAGATGGATTGAAGAGAAAGAAAAGCATGTTTTCTTCCACGTGGCATTATTCGGCCCCACATATTAACACTATCCAAAAGGGTTCAGGCACGTGGCACGGTTAGCCCACATATGGGGCCAAGTAATTATGATTCCTTTTTAATTTAAATGAATTTTTTTTTTGTAACTAACCGAAACATTTAATTATTATTTGTTTAGGGTTGGAAGAAGGAAACGCTTATGATAAATGAGGTTAATCAGGCTTCTTGGATAAGAAGCATTCAGTGAGTTCCGACGGAATATTCCTACAAATAAAAAATTATTAGAATATATAATATTTTCTAGATAACATATGCAATTGAATCAATTTTGTGACCTAGCTATAGAGAGTCCATTAACTATTATTTTTCCCTAAATTTATAGATTTCCACTCTATCTTGAAAATTGTTTGAGTTGTTGATAAACTTAAAAAAATAACATTTATAAATTTAATAAAGCCTTGTAATATCGAGTCTCAATGATATATATATTGATTATAGAGTTGCCTTGATAGCTAGGGTTCGAATCCAATATGGTAAAAACAGAGAATTAAATATACTTGTGAAAATAAAAACCTTGAAAACGAAGGTAGGGCTTCTAACACCGCATTAAGATAAAACAAATTCAAGGCTCTAAGTATAAAGGCTTGGAAGATATTTCTGCATATATATATATATATATATATATATATTCCACATTGATGTCTCCCAAATTCAACATGGTATTTGATCTTGGCTTCATTTTCATTCCTATCGATTTACTTCCCATCTTGAAATTTCCGATCACGGGACATTGATGCACGTGATCCATGTTACATCGCCGTCCTCTCTGAAGATGGGTACGTAGCCATTTTCTCACTAATGGGAGATATCAAAATGTTGATTTACGAAGTTACAAGTTGGAAACTTTATAGGGTCTACGTGCTTACGAACAAATCTATAACAATATTTCGAGTTTTGTATATGTGACTGATGTGGAATATAAGGAATAGAGAATGGGCAAAAACTTGCGAACCAGAGGTTTTCTGCGTATTTCCCCAACACACACACACACATACATATATGTGTATAATATATGTGTGTGGACGTGGTTCTGCATACACTAACATTACATAAAGTTTGCCAAAGCAACGTATAGCTTGAAGATAACGATATCGTGGGAATCAATTTTCGCCATAAAAAAAAATACAATAAAAAGAAAAGAGAAAAAGAAAAAGTGGAAAAAATGTTGTGGGGTTGGCAAGCCGACCCTATTTGCTTTTCCCCCCGATTCTTTAAATGTAATCTCTCTCTCTCTTTTTGTCTTTCTTACAAATTCCATCATTCACCGATCAAAACCCTTATGCTACACTTCTCATCCTTTTATAAGTCTATCCATATCTTCGTCCGTCTCTTCTTTCCCTCTCTTCATCTCCTTAATCAGCCTTAAAGGGCTTCTATATTTCCCATCTAATTTGCTTAGTGTTTTGTCTGTCTTTGGACACAGATTTAGTTGTCATTTTTTTTGTCCTGAGAGCGTATATATAGATCGTCATCGATCGAGAGATTACTTGTCTGAGATCTTCGAAAGTATATACACATGGCCCCGGTTGCACTGCCTCCCGGTTTCAGATTTCATCCGACCGATGAGGAGCTCGTTGCGTACTATCTGAAGAGGAAGATCAACGGCCGAAAGATCGAGTTGGAGATCATTCCTGAGGTTGATCTCTATAAATGCGAGCCGTGGGATTTGCCTGGTAATTGTTCCTCTATCTCTTTACGCACACCTAGTAAAGGGGTTTGATTATGATTGATCAACTCTCTCCATTTTTTGTTGTTCATGCTCAAGAATCTTTCTTTATTCTCGTTGAAAAAAATGCGTGGATCAACATGCTTTGATGGAAAATACTTAGCATTTGATCATTCTATATATTCATGATTGGTATATTTTAGTATGAAAATATTAAGTTCAAACAATTTCATTAATTAGTAGCTTTGGGATTAATTAGAAGTAAATCATGAAGATCGTTTCAAAGGGTCCAAATCCTCTTTTCTATTCTCTCTCTCTCTTTTTCCTGTTTTGTTAAAATAGACTAGATTTGTACGTACGGAATTATGTGTCTCTATCGGCACGCATCGAACTTGCCGATCCTTTCTTTTTGTCACTAAATAATATAAATAATACTTTCAACATAGAATATAAAATTTTGTGGACCCACGCCTTTATTCTTTGAAGAACCCAAAAATAAAGGATCACAAGATGGAAAAGATATGATAGTGAGACAAATTCAGAAGACCAAGTCAAAAAGGGCATGAAGATTAAAAAAAACCCACAACAAAAGAAGATCACATGTACTCTAGGGTTTTGGAAGCTTCATATTCACATTAGTCTTTTTCATCACATAGATTCTGTCTATTTGTCTTTTGTTTCCACTTTCAGATACCCAAACTCTTGTGCTGTTTCGTTTTCGTCTAATGACAATGCTTTTTTTTTTTTTTTAAAAAGGAAGAAATTTACTTGTTTTAATGTAAATGAGCCCTAATGAAACATTGCAGGCAAGTCCTTGTTGCCAAGCAAAGACCTAGAATGGTACTTCTTCAGCCCTCGAGACCGGAAATACCCGAACGGATCAAGAACGAACCGGGCGACAAAAGCCGGTTATTGGAAAGCCACGGGGAAAGACAGGAAGGTGAGTTCGCAATCTCGGTCCGTTGGGACGAAGAAAACGTTAGTTTACTATGGAGGAAGAGCTCCTCATGGCTCACGCACTGATTGGGTGATGCATGAATATCGTCTGGATGAACATGAATGCGAGTCCAAATCCGGCTTACAGGTATTAATTATTACATGAATATGAACAATATTAATTACATATTTGTAATCATTAGTAATGAATTTGATGTCACGCACATATATATGTATGTATGTTTTTGCAGGATGCTTATGCACTTTGTCGCGTGTTTAAGAAGAATGCCGTCAGCCCTAAGGTGGAGGAACAATGTGTTGATGGTATGAAGAGCAGTATTACAAATGCTATGAATATGAATAGTGAGCAATCTTCGAGCACCGGTATGTATTCTGAAGGAAAATACGAAGATCTAGAAAGTTCTGGATATCCGATCTCACCCGACGTGTATGGAACTCAGTTCCGTAACATTCCATCTTCCGATATCGAAACAAGAGAGGAGAAATGGAGCCAGTTTCTATCACAAGACTCTTTCAACTTACCAGCACCATCACAGTTTTGTTCTCAATATGGACCGACTAATTCATATCCCCCGTTCAAGGTAGGTATATATGCACCTTTAGACATTTCGGTAATCTTTTAACATTTCACATGTACATATATATAGTCATGGTTATATATGACAATAACATGCACATATATACACTTCTATTAATGGGCCATTTTTGTTTTGGAAATTTATGACATAGGTTGACATAGCATTCGAGTGTGAAAGGTTACAGAATCGTTTATCGTTGCCACCATTGCACATGGAGGATCTTCCTCATGCTGGATTCCTCGAAACCGATCTGTTGAACAACACAGATGATGTGTTAAACAAGATTCTATCGATAGCTCAGGCGTCACAAGAACAAGCAAGCAATCAAGTTTCGTGGAACGCTGCTTGTGGTTCTCAAAACATTCATGGCGATAACTTTGATTTTGCCGGCGAAAGATTTGCAAACTTCAACAATAGGAATGGAGAAAATTCTTGGGAAGAGGCGAACTTGAACGCAGTAGGAGCACAAGGACCGGCCGAAAGGTTTAAGGAAGAAAGAATGATCGAAAACTTGAGATGGGTTGGAGTGTCGAGCAAGGAACTAGAGAAGGTCGGTACGATTTTCTCCCGGGACATGTTACGGACTGAAATAACCTGATCTCCAAGTATAATTAAGGCGAATATAAAGGTTTTTGTAATAAGTTGATATTATAATCTCGTACTTATCTGCAGAGTTTCATTGAAGAACATACAAGGATTGTCCCCGTAGAAAGCATTTGGAGCTATCGGAGAGATGATCAAGAGCATGAAAGCCAAGGTAACTTTCATTGAATTTTATATATCCTTATACTTGATTCATTTTTTTTTCAATTCTCACTGTTATATATATCTTAGATGGTGCAGGATTTAAGAACAGTGATGGAGATCTCGATGACGTTGTCACGCTCGAGTTTTCGGACGATGAACATAACGGGAATCTCGCGGAGCAGGAAAACGGCAACATTACGGATGTTGAGGTGGTGAAGAGAGTTAAGTTTAGCCGTGGAATGTTTGTCACAACCCGACAGGTAACGAATACGTTCTTCCAACAAATCGTACCGTCACAAACCGTTATAGTTTACATAAATCCGGCGACGACGGTCGGAGAAAAGCAAGCACCGGACGAAGCCGGGGATCACGCAATTCCGAAGATCGAGCCGTTCGAGGAGAGAAAATTCTCAGGATCAATCTTTGAACCATGGAGAAAAGTTGCGCATGTCATCGGTTTCATTCCTATGCTTCTGTTGATGCATTGTGTTCAACGAGGAAGTAACTCTAACAACATTGAAAGGATCCAAGGACGGAAAGAACATCATAGAATTCACGACAATGACAATCAAGATCAGAGTCTGGTCGGAAATGGCTCAAGAGTTCATCATCAGGAGAGTTTCGTGTTGGTGGTGTTGAAGAAGTTGGGAGTTTCTCTTGCTATTGTCTTCGCTCTTTCTACTTTGTGTCTTATTTAGAAATTGGGGTTTTATTTCTCTTGTAACGCCAACAGCCACAACCAAAAAAAAAGGTCTTAAATGGGTACCTTTTTTTTTTCTTTTTCACTTTTATAGATTTATCCGAATATTGTAAACTGGTTATATTAATGGAAATTAAACGGTCAGCTTTAAAGTCATCACGGGGTTTTCTTTTTCTTTTTATCTAAAATAATTTGAAAACATTATATGAATTTAAAAACATCATTATCGATTGTTGGAGAACAATCATATGGAAGTAAAGCTTCCCTTTCTCTCAGAGGCTTTGTATTTAGGGATGAGTAAACCCTTATTTCCTTTGCATTTCGATACAGGGCCGTTTTCTGTTTTGAGCAGAGGAAGAGAGAGGAGACACGGCGGAGATCGACGGAGGCGTGACCGGGGTAGCATCGTACGGAGATTCTCAGGTGATATCGTTTTCTGTCAATTCTCGTTGGTTTGTTCGGTTTCTTTTCTCGGTTTAGTCCGGCGAGCCTCAGATCTTGATGTGACCGCCGATTTCAGTCGTAAACGGCGGTATTATTGTATTGCCGGTGCCGCCCGGCCGAGACGTAGGGCCGGTTGGGCGGATTTATCCGAATATTGTAAACTGGTTATATTAATGGAAATTAAACGGTCAGCTTTAAAGTCATCACGGGGTTTTCTTTTTCTTTTTATCTAAAATAATTTGAAAACATTATATGAATTTAAAAACATCATTATCGATTGTTGGAGAACAATCATATGGAAGTAAAGCTTCCCTTTCTCTCAGAGGCTTTGTATTTAGGGATGAGTAAACCCTTATTTCCTTTGCATTTCGATACAGGGCCGTTTTCTGTTTTGAGCAGAGGAAGAGAGAGGAGACACGGCGGAGATCGACGGAGGCGTGACCGGGGTAGCATCGTACGGAGATTCTCAGGTGATATCGTTTTCTGTCAATTCTCGTTGGTTTGTTCGGTTTCTTTTCTCGGTTTAGTCCGGCGAGCCTCAGATCTTGATGTGACCGCCGATTTCAGTCGTAAACGGCGGTATTATTGTATTGCCGGTGCCGCCCGGCCGAGACGTAGGACCGGTTGGTCGGAACTCCTATAGATCGCCTTTCTTGTACCGTGAGTGATTTCGGAGAGATCGGCGAGCACTTGCGAAGATCGGTTCTCTACATCGATGAACCTACCACGGAGTTTTCTTTTCTTTTTCTTTTTTAAATCTAAAACAGTTTTTTCAGAGAAGGTTGGACCATCAATTATCAATTTTTTATATTTAGAAACTGAATCCATCTTCCATAATAGGATTTTCAAATGCAAACACACTTAACATATAGGAGGAAGACAATCGATAATGATAACATCACACATATTTTATTTATATTATTTGAGGTTTTTCATTCACATCGTTACTTTTTATTCCCTCGAATGAGCACACAAATTAAACGCGAAAGAAATCGACCCGAGACGTTTAAACATGGCAATCGCGCACTTCCATGAAAGTTCTTGGTATCCGCTTTAAGCCCCGAACAGCCTGCTAAACCCATTAAATCGTGTACACATTTATGCAATTTTTAAAAATTAAAAAAAAATCATGTGCAAAAGAAATTAGGTTTTACCTGCTGAATCGAGATTGTGTTCGCTTGGCACTGCATAGCAAATAAAAAAAAAAGATCCGTGTGAATTTACGTATGTAACCTTTATATGTAAGGGTAGTATCGTAATATGTATCGGATTTTACAATAGGGTTGTTTCTGAGGGAGACTTTAACTATACCTTCTGGTGGTTGGAGGTTTCACCACAGGCTTTGGAGGAGGTGGCGGCGGCTGAGGAACATCGCTCGCGACCGGCACAGTTTTCACCTGTTCCGATTGGAATAACGTAACATGTTAACGTGTCGGAAAATACATTCGAATCTTTCCTTAATTATATACGCAAGTTTTAAATGAAAATTGTTACTATATGTATACCAAGTTTCTGAATTGGAGATTGTAGAAAGATTGGATATATCTCTGCTTTGCTAGCTTCTGATCCTTGTTCAAGTGTCTCCAAAAGCTGTATGTACTTCCCATGTTTATCACTTTGTTTGCATATATCTTCCATGTATAGCTGCACCAAAAAGTTTCATATATTTACAGTCGTATATATATATATACTCAAAGTTTTCATCTTTACAGTAAAGATTCAAGCTTTGTTTAAGATCTCGAAATCTATACGTACCATTCGTTGATGCGTTTAAGCCCTGCAGCCGAATACTGATCCCAATGACTAGGATCAATCTTACACCTCTCGAAGAAATCCGCAATCTTGTTGCTCGATTCTTCGCCGTTGTTTGGATCAATGTGGAAGCCGGAGGCGCCGTCAACGATAATTTCAGCCGGACCGCCTTGGTTCGTTGCGAAAGTGACTAGTCCACAGTTCATGGCTTCGATAACTGTAAGGCCAAAGGCTTCGTATAACGCAGGCTGAACGAAAGCACCCTTTGTGTCGGCGATACAACGGTACAGTTCGCCGTTTCTTATGCGATCTTTTTGAGCAGCAATCCATCTGAATTGACCCTTGAGTTGGTATTTTTCGATCAACGAGTGCATTTTCTTGATCTCTGACATCTCTTCTCTATCTTTCGATTTCGTAGGATCGAAGAACCCTCCAACGATCACGAGGTTGACCAAGTCTCGAAGCCTCTTGTTCTTGCCGTACCACTCGGTTAAGCCGGTTAAGTTCTTAACCATGTCGAATCTCGCCATTGAGAAGATTACCGGTTTCTTCTTATCCTCCAAGTAACCACTTTTGTTCGTGAAAGCAAACAAAATGTAAATTTGTTATATGGAAGCATCTAAATCGCTTGTAGATTTATCAAAGATATGCATCGTAATATACGTACGTGTGTTCCTCGTTATCGTTCTCGCTGTACAAGAGTTCTTCGATTTCGGGATGGAATTTGGTCAGTCTCTGGTTTTGATCGGTGAACGGGAAATACATGGATTGATCGGCGCCGGGAGAGGCAATGTTGAAGCGTGGATCAAAGACACTCACGCCGGAAACCGCTCTGTATAGCCCCGGAAGTGTAAATGTCATGTGGCTCTCATACTGTCCCGGTCTCTCTTTGCTATAACAAGACAAAAATTTCAAAATGGGAAATGTTAACCGGACCGGTTATCTTCAAATCCATAACCAAATTGGTACATTTTTTGCGTTTCCCGGTTCGTTTCCGGTTTAGTCCGGTTCTGAAATGCTTTTGATGCATTGAATTACCTTCCAGCGATTTCCTGGAAAGTGCTGGCAATAACGAAATCTGCGGCGTTCATAGAGATCAAGTCTGCAGTAAATTGACATGAGAAATGGTATTTCGGATCAAACTCTTTCCACTTGATGTCTGAGTCCTCGTACTTTGTCTTCTCCAAGGCATGCGCAATTGTTGCCTGGACAATTTTATTTTTTGAAATTATTATTGATTTTATTATGGTTTCAGATTAATTTTATTTATTGAAAATAAAATACCAACCTGAGTAACCCCGAGTTTATTGGCCATGAGTGAGGCCACAAGGTTTCCATCGGTGTAATTTCCTATTATTAGATCTGGTTTTCCTTCCATAATGTCCAATATCTTTGCTGTCGCATCCTGTATATGTATACAAATATAAATTTTTTTAAAATTAAAGAATAATTAGGGAAAATAATGAAAAGATATGAATATATTTTGTCACACTCGCCTGCGTGAATCTCTCGAGAAAAGGGTAGATATCAAACCGAGAAACCCATTTCCGCAAAATTCCATTTTCTGTAACAAATGGAATCCGGAGAATGTTTGAATGTTTTGTGCCGAAGATGGGTTCAAGTTCTTCGTTACATTTTGTACCCTTTGCCTCCGGGATTAATCTTGTCACCTAAAAACATCATTTTGATCAAATTCAAATAAAAAATTTAGCCCTGTTTAAATTAATTTTGTTTTTTTTTTCAATTATGGTTCGGCGGTTATCGGTTGATTTCATCGAATTTATGTTTTTTTTTAATGAATGCAGAACATGTAAAAAAAATACGTACCACAAGAATCTGAGGCTTGAAATTGAGCCCTTGAGATTGGATTCTGTGAAGCAATTCATCCTCTAAAGCCTTGACTTGGTCAAGAATATACACAACTTGACCGCCGGTATCAGGCAAACCGAGCACGTCGGTTTGCCCGAAGTATCCATGAACCGAGAAGATCACGACGTTTAAGATTCTCGGAATCTTGCTGAAGAATCTCTCCGTGTTCCGAGGATCCGGGGCTTGAAGGATCTCCGACACGACCCTCATTGTCTCCTTCACTCTCTCTGCTGTGTCTCCCCACCCCTTCTCGAATCCCCATTCCTTGAACCTGCTCAGGTTTCGGTTTGGTTCATTCCAGGGTTAAACCCTAGTTACGATAATTACAATAATACCCTTGTCGTCTTTAGAATCCAAACCTGAGTTCAAAGGCCTGATAGGGAGTTTCCTTGGGGAGTTCCGAGAGGAAAACGTCTGCGAGGATCAAAGCCATCTGAAGCTTCGACGCAGTGTGCAATGTCTCGTTGATCATAAGTTTCTAATAACGCACGAAAAAGGCCAATACTTAGCTTAATCAGGAAGAGAAAGAAGAACAATTAATATGGATCTGATTTCTGCACATGTTTGTGTATAAATGTATATGCATATATTATATACCTCTCCTTGGTGTTCAAGTGACAACAAGTAATCCACGAGCGGCTGAGCATTGTCGTCCAAACGCCCGCTGAGCTTCGAAGAGACGAAACCGAGGCCATTGCCGATCGAGGAAGAGAGCGAAAGGCGAGGAAGAGTGAAGTCTAAAGCTCCGAAATCAACCTCCAATGCATTTTCATCCTTCGCCCTGTTCATTTTCCACATCACAATATCTTCTTTTAGGGTTTCAATTAAGAAAGGGAATGCATGAGATAGGTATATCTCTTACGTACGCACCAAGTTTCGTCGAATAGCTGCTCTTTGAGTTTGAGATATTGCGTGCTCGAGAGAGGCTCGACCGACAGATTTGAAGCGTTAACCTTCACATGTTCCCAGCTGCCTGGGTTTCCTCTCACCGCAAACGCTACGTTCGGAGGTATCACCACAGCTTCCTGCATTGTCAATGTTCGATTTACCAAACAATTTCCCATAAGAAACTAGGAAGAATTCGTTGGAATTCATCGATGTAATCTCATTTTAAGATTGATGAACGTTCGACTTACCAAAACAATTTCCCATAACCATTCCAAGATTGTTGTTTTGGTTGGTTCAATATGTATATATATGATTCACAGAAAGGATGAATCATGAATGTATATATGTATATATATACGAACCTGAGTGAAGCACAAGATCTTGCCAAGATCACCCTCCAAGAGCTTCTGTCTTTGGGTTACATCATCAATAACCATCTCCATCTCATCCATCAACTGGTTTAACTTCATCAGCCTTCTCCCCTTCTCAGTGTACTTCTCAAGGCAACGTTTCGTGTGCCCTCGGTTTGTCCCCGCCGCCTCCCCCGCCATCCCATCTGCCAGCGATTGCGACGCCACCCCCAACGCCATTCTCTCAAAACGCGTTTGGTTAAGCTTGTATTTGTGGAAGAATCCCACTGTATCGCTGTTTCTGTGTGATGATGGTACGTGTTACACGAACGATCTTGGTATATCTGCTTTTATAAGAGGGAGAGGGTTTGTAGATATATGGCAATGAAATGTTGTTACGCGAACGATCTTGGTCTATTTATATATATATATATAGGGGGAGAGGGTTTATAATAGAGGTGTGATAATGAAAATGTTGTTATGCAACCGATCTTGGGCTAGTTTTTATAGGAGGAGAGGGTTTGTAGATATGATAATGAAATGTGGTTATGTGATTATTGTGTGGGGTTGGTCCAATACCTTCCTTTTTTTGTTTTGAGGTTGTTTTGTGCCCAAGGAATTGTTTTATTTCCTGTTTCATTTTTGTTTTGTCTTTTTTTTTTCTATGTATATATTATGATTCTTGGGTAGGTCCCAATAATAGGATACTGAAACATTTAGAAAAGTATCCTGTTTCTTCTTTTCCTCTTTTATTGGACATGCATACATATACGTATATAATGATTTTCTTACTAAATTAGAAATATATATATATATATATATATATATATATATATATATGTGTGTAT